TGAACCTTTTTGTTTATATATAGTTAATGGGAAAAAGATTAAAATCTGTACCCAAGATTGCCCTTACAGGTCAAAGATCGTAATGATATAAAAGGTAAAACATAAATAGATGTTAAATCTGAATAATCAATCAATATAACATGATTATTTTAATAATCAAATACGAGTAAAATTTAAGCAATGCTGAAGGCAAATACTTAAGTGTTAAAAAAATATATATAAAATGTAACAGAATGTTAAATTTTATAAATTAAGGGTTAAAGTAATGCTGAAGGCAAGTACTTAACCAGTTAAATGTAAAATGCTAAGAATAGTTAATTTCTTAACACACTAATGATTATTTAAAATCAAATTAATAAAATTTTAGTTTACTATAAAAAAAATATACTGGCCTTGTATACCAAATTATACTAAAAAAGGATCTTCTGAATGATAAAAAAAACATCACAGCATCCAACTTCTCCTCAGAGGGGTGCAGGGCTGAAATCTAACCGAACAGGCTGCTGCTGATTACTTCGGTGACTGAACACGTAAGAAAAACTTGGCATAAACTTCTAGAAAAATATGCAGAACAACTTGCAGAAAAACGTCTAGAAAAATGTCTAAAAATACTTGAAGAAAAATACGTGGAAAAATGCTGAGAAAAATACGTAGAAAAATCTGTAGAAAAATCTGTAGAAAAATCTGTAGAAAAATCTGCAGAAAAACCTAAAAAGAAATGCACGGTATTATTTAACCTTACATTTTAAAAAACTCGAAAAATTTACGAAGGTATTAATTTACCTCATTGTGAAGGCACACAATCAATAATTATTTAACATTTCTTCTCAAATAAGGGCTGGACACTTCTCATCAAAAAAACTGGAATCTAAAAGAAAGGCATGTGAAGGTTTTTTCTACCGAATGGAATGTCAAGGAAAATCTTACCAAAACTATAGATCCACTAAAATCTCAATAATCAAAAGCTATATGGGATCTCCATCCATCTATGGGACAACAAAATCACAATATTTTTCCCATATTGTGAAAAATACCAGCCAAACAAATGTATTCTCAAAAATGGCACGGTGACCTCGACAACGGCCAAATCCGAGGTGACGATTTTGACATTTTCCGTCCTGTCGATACACCAGGGTACGATCCAATATTTTCGATAGAGAGCGTTCCGAAATTTAAGTGTTGTAGAAATGTAAAAAGAATATCGATACAATAATAAAATACCGTCTATAATAAAACAAAGGAGCATTTGGAAAATAAAAATGCTACATTATATCCCAAATAACTTATGAAAAGGAATACAAATATTTTCAAAAATGGAAGCAGTTAAAAAACGCACGAGAAGAAATAAAGTTTTTAACCTATCATCGCTGTTAAAGTAACATTTAATCTACCCTTTCGGTTAAAGTACTATTTTATCTACTATTTTTGATAGATATAAGCATAAGGCTTTTATCTATGGATATAAGGCAATTTTAACAGTTGCTATGGAAAAAACATATTTTTTATTTTTATTTATATTTTCTGATTATATTAGGTATGCAACTGCCGTTATGTTATACGGGCCTAACCTAATAACTAAAAATAATTCAAGTTATTTATTCCACACAGATAAAACAGTTTAATTGTCCAATATTGACAATTTATCCATCATTATAAATTTACTTGTCAAGCATATCTATGTAAATTGGTATGATGTAAATTACTAAATATACGAATACTGTTATACTATTCGAAATTTTGTACAAATAACTGTTTGCAGCAATATACTTAACAAAGGAATATACAGGGTGGTCCGAACTGTTTTCCGGAAAATTCAGCAGCATATTCTGCAGATAATAATAAGTAAGAAAGTTTGTATAAATGTATGTCCTAAAATGCTCAGTTTTGGAGATACAGGGTGTAGAAGTTTCATTTTTATTTCGATTTTTTCGAAATAATTTGTGAACTAACGTCAATATTTGGATGAAAATTGATGTCTGCGAGTTTTTTGGCATGAGAAATTTGTTTTTGATGTCAATATGACTCCTATTTGTAGAAGGCGTCAACTACATACTTTTTAACTGGTTTGAAGAGTAATAACTTTTCGTCCGTACCTGTATAAAACTACTGAGTAAAAAATATACTTAAATATATTTAAGAAGTTTTCTACGTAAAAAAGGCCCCTTGTTAAAAATCCCTACGAGTAATGTCTTCGAGATATTTGGAATCGAAATTATCATTACCTGTCATCATTGACTTTGAATTAAAGTATAAGATCCCTAAATCGCGTTGAAGCGTTTGAGATGTGGACTCTCCGCAGACCATTTAAGATCTCGTATATCGATCACATTTCAAACAAAGAAGTCCTGCGGAAAGCTGGTATCGAAATACAGCTGCTTAATATAGTAAAGACACAGAAAATGTCATATTTGAGGCACATTTTGAGAGGAACTCGCTACGCCAGTCCGAAACTAGTCCTGCAGGGCAAAATCGAAGGTCGAAGAGTGCCAGGAACAGCAACTCAGCACTCAACAGCACTCATGGCTCAAAAAACATCAGGGATGAGCGCGGGATACGCGGTAACCATATTCCGTCGAGCAGAAGAAAATACCCTTACAATCAATTGAAGGGAGTATACAGATGATCCCAACGTGCAAGATTGCATAATGTGGGACCGGAAGAAGAAGAAGAACTAGTAGGAATGTCAATGTGGCGTATTAAGATAGTTATGAGTAGTGTAGTAACATACAAGAAATGCAATAAAAATTTACAAGATATGTTCGAAGTTAGGGCTGTAAAATCTTTCATGGTTTATAACTTCCTCTCGAAGAATGTTAGGGTCATATATTTATACTATAAACTTTATAACAACATAATCTGTTTCTTAACATATCCGTTTTATAATTTGATGTAGGTACTTTGTCGAAAAATAAATACTATTTAAATAACAAACGTAATCTTAAAAAATGCATAAATTCTTAATTTGGAATCAAATAACAGATCAAAATTACAAGTATAGAACAATTGGAAGATAAAGTTTGTACCCGTAGGTTCAAAACCCGGTGACATCTTACAAAAAATTATCTTTATTTCAAAGTGAAACTTCTTTACCACACGTCTCACTGTGACACTGAAAATTACTCTAGCTCTATTACTATTTATTTTAGAAAAAAAAATTGATTAAAGGTAAAATATTCTAAATTTAATTCTCTACAAAAAACATATCTTTCCCGTTGAGATTGGTTGGTTACTAATTTTTTGCACCTTTACATATAATACTCGGCTACGTTTACTGGCCTAGTACCCGAATGGAGTCTTCAAACGGACAGATGGACAAATGGTCATTTTAATACAAATGTCGCGAAAGTGAATTAAATTATTTATTAATTTTTTGAAGAATGTATTCTTGGGATTATGGTCCGTAATAAAATGTTTTTAAATTAAGTAATTTCAATATTTTTCATGATGTGTTTGACTTAAAAAACATTTCTATTACGGACCATAAGTCCAACAATACAGCCTTAAAAAAATAATAATCTATTGTTCAAAGAATAGTATAATCCAAAAAGAAATATTATTTATTAATTTTTAATTTATTACTTTTTCAACGTTTCAAACTACACTTTTTCAAACATGTCTTTCAAATCCTTCAATTAAAGCTATTTAATTGATTCAAGCTGTTTTAAGCTGTTAATAAGAAGTTTTGCTTCAAATATGCGCACATAGTGCACACACAAGTTCTACATTTTTATGGCCGTATAACCAGATTTTCATCTAACGAACCTCTCTCTATATATAAAAATATAGACGTTAGACTATCTATTACTATAAAATTTAATAAAATTATAAAATAACTCGAGCGCTATTCCATTTATGATGTAACCGAAAAACAAACACAAATAATATATTGCAAAAATGCACCATTACATTAATAACTAAATTAAATTAAATGACCAAGCAATAAAGAGCCGTAATACTTTACTATCATAATTCCTTAAATATGCGACCGGTCGTGAGATAAGCATCTTTGAAAGCTGAGCGACATTTAATTATAAAATTGCTCGAATTAAAACGGACCCTATTTGAAGACAAAAAAAGAAAAACAAACACGTCATAAACGGCATTAGTTTCTTGCAAAATGCTTCCGTTTGGACGCGCATCTCGTGTCGATGGGTATAAAAAACGTTTTATTAAATATATTAAATTCATACGATGCCTTTTTCGTAAAAATCTAGAATATTCCGCAATAGGTATGTTGCTGAATATTGCAGCATATACTTAATTAATAATTTTAGCTTTTTATTTCCAAATAAGTAACTTATTGCTTCTAAAAGCTATCAAGTTTATGGTTATAATTTGGATTAGCATGCAATGGATATTTTAAGTAAATATCAGATCAGTCGTATTAAAGACTTCGGTTGGTTAGACAATTACACAGTTTTTAATTAATTTATTAGGTACATTTTCATGCCTCCATTCATCGGATGTATGATTTGCTTGTGATTGGTGTCATTTTATATTTCCATATTCATAACGATTTCGCTGTAATACTTATAGTCTAGGCTGCCGGTAGACGTTGCGTTCACTACTGCGCTTCATATCTGTATTCAACATCTGTTCACTATTGCGCATCACAAATTCACAATGTATTTCAGGACCTAAGGACACTAGGAGAAACATATGTGCGGCATATTTAGTTTCGTAAAACTTTCATGCCAAGCAAAGTAATGTGAAAATTGCATCATTGTATCTCTACTTCTAGACGAGAAATCCCATAAAACATACGAAAATGGGATACACACGAAATGGGATGTGATACGCAGTAGCGAATCGCAATAGTCTTTTGGCATTTTGGTCAGGAGAGCATAGAAAAAGATATATTAAACAACCAGCTTTTTTAAAATCCTTGTTTTCCCGACATTGCCTAGCTCTTGTACTATTATATTTTGATTAAGGTTAGATCAAATTTGTTAAGGAAGTGTCAAAACGTCCATTATCGTAAGATGTTTCTCCGTTGACAGGTTAGAGTAAAACATTTGCGGACGAAAAGTGGCACAAACATGGGCCGAGAATGAGCATCCTTTTTAACGAAGTTTGCTGAAGCTGCAAGGACCTGAAAAAAAGGAAACGGTCCAGCATTACCTATGCCGCTCTCCGGCTTTGTATAGGACCCGGAATCGTTTCTTCGGAGGCTATATATATAGCCTCGTAAATCTTGAAGATGTTGCAGGGAAGATCTTACCAGCGAATGCTGAACACTTAACATTCCAACTATACCATCCCTAGGGATAGGATCTGAGAGTAAGTGTTATGAAAACTGCAATTCTACTAATTTCAACCAACTAACCAACCATGTTGAATAGTATAGTTGTATGGAAAGATCAAAGGAAAGATATTAACTTTCTATATTAAAAAATATGGTTAAAACTTGTAAATTTTCAAGAAGGAAATGAAAAACATAATAATTGACGCCAATGAATTGAAATAATTTGCCAAAATGTTTCTATCGACATTAACAAAAAATAATTGCCAACTATTGCGATTCTTCGTGATCGCTCTGTATAACTTTGTCTGACTCTTTTAAGTTGTTGGTATATTACAACGTTATGTTCCCCAGATCACCTTGTATATTATCCACTACAGTGTGTACCGCACTTGGGCAAATAAAAATCTCGTAAAAAACATCGCTAAAAGGCTCATTAACCGTCATATACGTCGAAGCCTATTGATGCTACTATAAACCATCTGTACCTTTCACTAGTTTAACATATGACGTAATTTTTTGCTCCAAGATCGAGTGCGTGTGCGACTTTTAAAATAGTTCCAGTAGACGAGGTGTAAATAAAGGAACCTTTCACTAAATGGCATTATCGAGATTTCAGAGTCTAGCAAGTACGACAAAACTTTAATTGACCACCTTTAAAAATTAATTAATTATTTTTTCACCTTGCCCGCGGGTTTTAAAAACTATTAAGTTGAAAAAATGTGTGTCGCATTGCAGGCTACTGTTATGTCACACTTTGTGGCTTCAAATATATTTGTTATGAGAAGTAAATAATTAAGATTAATTTGATGAGATTTCTTAACACTCACAAAGAAAAAAATAATGCACAGATTCTCGTTCTATTAATTTTAATTTTTTATATTTTTTTTAAATAATTATTCGTCTTTTTATTCTTTCAGATACAAAATACTTAAATTAAAAAGTCTTCTTATTGAAAAGATTTCAATCATACATTTTTATTAAAAAATGTTTCTTTTTATTTATTCAATATTAGTTAGTTTTTTTTAAGTTTTTACGACTCCAAAATGCTGTTATGTCAGCCGCATCGGCTGCCGACCGGGTCTCAATAAACTATCCTTCTCGCGCTTATAGATACTCATAAGACTTTCTTATCGCGCTTATTTAAAATCTTTATTCGCGTCTGGCAAGTATTAAATCCCATTGAATTCGTCTGGCAATTAACACATATTTTTTAATATCATCTAATAAACAAGCTGTAAAAATTTTAGAATGCCTAAAGTATGTTTTCCAGGTATAATAATTAAACATATTTGGAATGGTCTGGTTACACTTTAAACCCGAAAAAAAGTCTGGCATACTTATTTCTAGGTTAAATAGATGCTAAAATTTAAGAATAAACAAATTTCAAGTTGCCTAAAGAATGTTTTTTGGATTTATTTTTTTGCAAATGTTATGGGTTGCGCAGTAGCGAAATACCCCCAACCCCCCAGCCAGACTTAGGATTCTGGGTTCATCAGTTAATAAACTATACATTTTTAGTTATTCTAGCTTGCCTAAAATATGTTCTCTAAATAGGTCGTCAGCTCTTAGGCTATAAGTAAACATGATAATAAAGAATAAACGACTGTCGCGATTTTTTTTTCCTTTGAATTTTGTGTTCAGTAGTAAAATTACGATTGTCCGGTAATTTTCCAAATAAATATAATAAAATATCGGTAATCGATCCAAAAAAATTAAAAAAATGCTTTATGTTGGATTAACAGATGTATAGAGGGGAAAAATTATTGCCCTCACCGAACAAGGAATGCTCCAAAGAGACGTAGCAGAGACAGTAGGCGTTACCCAGGGTGTTGTATCGAAAACATATGCAAGGTACTTGGAATTAGGAACACATAAGGATAGGCCCAGACAAAGTCGTCAAAGAGTCACAACTGAACAACACCGCCTTGTGTGCAAAATTGCTAGAATAAATCCCAATGTTTCTCATCCAGAGCTACAAAGACAACTTCTGGCAGCTACAGGTGTGAACGTTTCAGTTGAAACCATAAAAAAAGGCTTCGTTCTCAAAGGTTTTACTGTAGGAGAGAGTTACGGATCTTACAGTTATCTCGGAAAAATAAAATTGACCGGCTAAATTGATGCGTTCAACATCAAAACTGGACAACTGAGAATTGACAAAATGTTCTTTTTTCGGATGAGACCAGAATTGGCCTAAGATCAGATAACCATCGAATTCGGGTTCTCAGAGCTCCAGGAAGACGAGGGAGACTTCAGGCTGCCAAATCTGTATGAAGATATAAAGGAGGAACTGTAATGTTCTGGGAGCCAAATTTCCATTGTTACCACTTCAATAAACTTTAACGGATCTGAGATATGTTGATTTGGTGCTAGAACCAATTGTTAGTCTTTGAAGAACTACAATTGGGCATAATTTTAACTTCTTGTACGATAGTGCACCTCCCCATACCAGCAGAGTGACTAGAGAATGTCTTGAAATGGAAGGTGTCATAGTTTTGGACTGGCTTTCATGTTTACCTGATCTAAACCCTATCGAACACTTGTGGGACTAGCTCAAAAGAAGGGTTAGAGCTCGTCGAAACAATCCAGGGAAATCTTGCACAGATTATTGATGCAGCATTAATGTGAAAACATACCCCAGGACAGCATTGATAATTTAATAAGAAGCATGTCAGCCCAGATAGAAGCTTGCATAAGGGCTAGAGGTAATTAAAATTATCAATTTTCTTTTTTGGTTTTGGTTAGGACTGAGTTTTATTAATAAACACAAAATTTTCATACGTTTCAAAAATTATGAAAAATAATAGATGATTTCATATAAGTTTGGTTGTGTGTATGTTCACAAAGCGAAGCATCTAGGTACGTTTTTTTCTCGATAGTTTGTTTTTTGATTCATCTCAATAGCTTTATTTTTATTGAAGATATTCGCTTTTAAAAGGGTTGACAAGTAACAATTTACAGTAATTTTAGCTTTGATTTTAGGTCCTCATCAACACGTTTATAAAATTGTGTTTATTGTTTTTGTAATGTCACTTTCCATTAAAAAGTCATATTATTATTTTTTATTGGCGTTTACTCTAGTAGAGATAGTTTTAAGTTTGGTTATGTATCGGCTATTTTTACTTTAATTATTGATCATGGTAAAGAGCAATTTTTGGACTTAAAACCATATCTGCTAGAGTTGGCTAGAGTAACTGCTCAACAGACAATAATAATATAATTTTTCAACGACAGTGATATTACATAAATTAAAATCACTATTTTATAAGTGTGTCACACGCCCCTCTTCTTCAGGACTATTATTGGCTATTAGGACTATGCCATCAGTGAAACTTAGATGGTTAAGATATTCTCCATCTATTTTTAATCCTTTGTTGGTCCAGTCTAGTTCACGGAAGATTTCTTCTCGTGTTTCTGTAAATGTCTTTGGGGATAATGCGTCTTCCTGTCGTACTATTTTTCCGGTTGAGCCAAATAGTCAAATTAAGAAAAAAAACTTTGTACACCTTTTAAAGAAGCTGTGTAGCCTAATTACAATGAAAACAAAGTTATAATAATGAAATACTAAGCAGCAAAATTTATTAATGCATTAAAGGTATGTCTATGTCTATACAGTTTTAAAACATATATTGTCCATCCTTTTTACGGTCCAAGTATAAGCGATAAATTTAAATTTATCGACGATTCTGCCTGTAGCACTTAAATACAGGAACATTTTAATTTAGACCTAAATCAAACAGAAAGTTTTATTATCGTAAATAACAGCTCACCTAAAATAAAAATGAAAATTTACGATTTTTATGGCCTGGTCTTGTAGAAGCTTTCTTACACGATTTTAATATTATATTGCTATAAATTATCAACATTGGTCGAATACTTTCCGCTTTATTACCATATTATACACCTAGTTCGAACAATATCAGGATAGTCAGGAGCTTGTAAATAGGAACATCGAAATGAAGCTGTTTAAATGCTAGTGTGAAGAGAAAATTTATCGAAATATTTATGGTATGGCATTTGTATTATTTGACCATAAATTAAAAATTTCGTTTTCATAATATCTTACCAGGTAGCTAATTAAATTTTATTTTTTATATATGCTGAACAGAAATATTTTATTTACATTTGTAAATGTCACCGAACATGTATTTCATTTTAATATATTCATTAATGTTTTTTTTAATTAATATGTGCTAATTAATGTAAGAATTTGCATATGCAGTTTTGGATAAGGTTAATTGAAGTATTAAATTAGTTAATTAAAATTTTGATAATGCCTGTGGGACATTATCTTTGGTATAAAATAAAATAATTATTATTAAAGCTAATAGAGATGAGTACACCCGGTATTTTAAAACAGTCGGGTCCGGAGTTACATCATCCCTCATGTACCTACATCCAGGTTCCAGTTTAGCCGGATCTATATAATTCTAATAATGAATTTTAACTTAACTAAATTTTGTTTTGCATGGAGCAATCCGCGTTCAAAAGTTTTGTAGTCCGTTAGGGAAATTTGATGTTTGCGTTTTGTCAACTCCTTATCACCTGTTCTTAGCTGTTCTATTTACTTGGTGGAGTTACCTCAAGGTTCAAATTTACGACAATACCAAACCAAAACACGCATCAGAAGATGGCTACGCAATGCGTTTTCTTTCATGAACTTTTCTGTGACTGAAAAGCCCAATACGTGATGTTATCTCTCTTCCGCACACCGGATATTCAAAAATCTCCATGCTTTGTTGCCTCTATACTTTTTGGTTAATTGAATTATTATTTAGGTTAATTGGAATTTTGATAAAAAAATTGCTAATAGTATAGTTAATACCTTAATCAGAATGTAATACACTGGGTTTATTTCATTTATAAGTAGTGATGAGCTAGACAGAAATGAGAAACGGAAAATGGAGTGTTCCATGTTGGGATTTACATTTAGAGATAAAATATCCAATCATACCATACGAAATCGAACAGGAGTAAGAGATGCGGTGATATGTATCTTACATCTTAAATGGAATTGGGTAGTACATATGGCTAGGAT